AGCGCTCCTGGGCCCAGAGTTTCGGAAGGTGAAGGCACCTGACCTGTGGCCTACCTCACAGGGCTGTTGTGGTGGTGGGTGGTGCATAGCGACGACCCCTCTCGCCGCCCCTGGGCCTCTCCCAAGCAAGAGAGAGAGAGAGAGAAGGAAGGAGACGGGCTCCCCCCACCCCAATCTTAATCATCTTGCCTTGTTCAGCTGGGCTGGCTGGGGGGGATGCTGGGTGTTGTAGTCCCTCAAAAGCGACATGTTGAAACCCTGGACCTGAGAGCCCCACGGCCTGTGGATTTTGCTCACTAGCAAGTCCCTCTGGGATTTTAGGGGTTGCCGAAGTATTTATAGAGAGGTAACCTTGTATCCCGGTGCAAAGTGGTTTTATGGGGTGAGCTGCCGTGGTTTCGGGTGGAGAGGAGCAGGTTTTGGCTGGGGAACTTCAAGACTTATTTATTTATTTCATTGATACGGTGTCTTATTAGTGCCAAACCGCTATTCTGGGTGGATTACAGTACTAAACAGTAAATGCACAAAATTTTAAAACATTAATAAAATAAGAACCAGCGACACCAAGTCAATTTTCTGAACGATGGCTGGACAGGGAGTAAAAGATCAAAATTGAATGGGTATGGAAAGCTTCCCTGAAAAGCAACGTTTTAAGTTGTCTTCTGAGTGGCAACAGGGAGGGATCGAAAGAAGCCCCGATCTCTTACGGAGGGCTTCCTGGGAAGGTCTGGTGGGTTAGAGAAGATGACATTGGGGAGAGACGTTCAAATCCTTGCTTGCAGGCATCGGTGATGTGACACTGAGTGATCAATATGCTGCTTTCCCCCCCCTAGACTGGGACTCATTAGAACTGCAGCATCATCAATGTAAATAACATTAAATCACCAAATAATGTGTTAATCAAATGACAATCCACTTGTGTATCTTCCAAGTAAAAAAGAAGGTGGCGGTGGGTAGTGTTTATAAGAATTCATAATAATGAAACACACCTTGTTCAGTTCAGCAGCACTTGCTCCCAGACAGTTGTGGGTAAGGATGGCGGCCTTGAGGGCTGAAGTGAGAGCTCATCCAGTGTGCCCAGGTTGCCAGCTTGTTCTGAGTTGCTACAGGTGACAGGCTTTTTGTTGCTAATCTTGTGATTAACCTTGCTGTAGCGGGTTGACTTCCTTGTTACCTCTGGTGGGGGAAGCTGTACATGGAAGAGGCTTTGGAAAGGGAAAAGCAGATGTGCGTTTGTGATGAGAAAGGTCCGACTCAGATCCATCACTTTTGACACATGCAAAAAGTCCAATTGATTCCCAGTCCTGCTGCTGAAAGTTTCATGTGGCTGCAGCCACACTCGGCTAGAGCAACGTGCTGTGGTATGTTCAGCCTTGTGGAGGCTCTGTTAGTGACCATGGAGCCGTCTCCTATGGGATAGAAAGAAGGACTCTCCTTCATGCTCCTTTCCTTCATGTGTGATAAAGTTAAAGCAGTGAAGTGATTGAACAAAAAGAAAAAAAACCTTGCTTACAACTTTACAATTCAATAGATATGGGGAGGGGAAGGGGAAGAAAGGAATGGGGAGAAGACAGGAACATCACCTAATTAGGTACAGTGCTTATTAAAATCTGTATGTAGCATCTTTCAACTGTTAGTTGTCAGTGTGATGAACAATAAGTAGAATCCCTAAACGGACAACGCAACAACAGTATAACAAAAACTAAGAAATACTTGTGTAACGAGCTTTAAGAAGGTAAGAAAAAATATGTACATACAACATGTAGTGTCTTGAGTGAAAAAGAAAGCATTTAGTTCCTTGATGCTATTATATAACGAAAGTTATATAATGACTAGGTGGAACTGAGGGGAGAGTTTGATAGCAGCAGACGGCAGCTGTGCTGAGGACATTGAGGGATCATCTGTCTGCTGATGGTCTCTTCTGTGTTACTTGTAGGGACACTGGATTTATTTCCTAAAATTTAGTCGTTTATCTTGACTTCTAATGGGAGACTATTTTAATTTAGTCTTCAGTTTAGCCTTTTGTTGTTTCGACACTGTGATGAAGTGAAGAAATTTCTGGAGCCAAGGAATAAACCCACCTGACTTCGCTTTCCTTCTGAAAGCAGACTGGAATTGAGATTGGGTATGTTCAGGTTAGCATGTGATGAAATGTGAAAGAAGGCTCAGGGTGAAACTAGGGTGGCTTCTTGCTGGAACATCTCTCCCCAGTGTCGTCTGGCTGACCCACCAGGTCTTCCCAGTCGGTGCTCCTCTGTGTTGTCACCCTGAAGGGGACCCAGAAGTCTTCTACGAGGAGTTTGGCCTTCTTCGCGGTGGCACCAACTCTGGAACCAGCTCCCCGTGGAGCAGCTAGGCCTGGCCCCTTTCCTGCTAACGTTTAGAAGGAATGCTGCTTTTTAGGGCGGCCTTCCATCATGACCCTGCTTGTTGTCACACTCATGTCTTTGCCTTGTAGCATTGGTGCTTTTGATGGTTTTAGTGTATTGTTTTTGTATGCTTACTGTTATAGGTCTGGTCATTTTACTTGTCGCAAACCACTCAGAGTAGTGCACTGCGCTATATGGGGTGGTATATAAAGCAGAGAAATAAATGATAATGAATAGTGGTGTCGTAGTTAAACTGCAGTATTGTAGTCAAAACTCTGCTCATGAGTTCTGTCCCAACGAATTCTGGTAGCTGGCTTGAGGTTGGCTCACTGAGTACCAAGCTTTTGAGGGGTGGGAAGTTTACAACATGTAACCTGCCTAATTAAATTATACCCCCCCGAGAATCTTTTATGGGGTGGTATATAGGCAGCATGCTTTGCTTTGTATGATAATCAGCAAAAGCCACATGATTGGCATGGTGACGGATCATCCCCGCCCTCCCCCCCGGAATGCTGTCAAGTTCGTTCTTCTAGTGACTTGTAGAGATCTGGGTGTAGTGGCAGCCGTTTGGTGTTAAGAGTGGAGCTTTTGTTTCTTTTGAGTATTACCACGATCCCTTTGTACGGTTGCCTAGCATGCTGTTGCCACAACACTGTTGGTTTAGTCGTCCTAACAGATGTTGCTCCACCTTTTCTTGCTCAGATGCTTGGATGAGGAGGCCCTGAAGATGTTGGTGCATGTACTGGCGAACTCCAAGATTGATTACTGTAATGTTCTTTATGTGGGGCTTCCATTGAAGCTGACCCAGAAGAAGCTTCAGCAGGTCCAGGCTGGTGTTGAATGTGAGCAAATTTGACCACATTTTCCCAGTCCTGGCTCGCTTGCACAGGTTCCGGTTCTTACCCTTCACAGTGTGGGCCTTAGTTACTTGTCGGAGCTCCTTTCCTCAAGAACATCCACTCGTGCCACCAGATCCTCATCAGCCGTGCTCCTACGGGGTTGCCACTCGTAAGTGAGGCCAAAAAGGACACCCACCAGAAATTGTGCTTTCTTGACAGTAAGCCCCAGTCCATTGAAATAGGCTTCCTGTTGAGCTGCAAAGGAAAGCACACTGCTTAGATACTGTCCCAAAGTGCTTAAAGCAACTGTCATGGTGGTTTGCCATTTAGTTATGCAGGCTACATATTGCCCCCCCCCACGCCACCTTCCCCAGCAAGGTGGCTATTCAGTTTGCTGACCTCAGAAGGATGGAAGGCTGAGTCAGCCTTGAGGGATCGAACTCAGCTCATGAGCAGAGTTTTGGCTGCAGTACTGCAGTTGAACGTTCGTATCTATTTCCTTCTCTACGTTAAAGAGGTTGTTTAAAATGGTGCTTTTTAAAGACGCTTTTATTGGCACGGTCTAATGAATTTGCCAAGTCAGACCATTTCTGCTGCCCTTTGTGATTCTTCTGTTCTTATTATTTTTAATTATTACTCTTTTATGGGTTACATTATTGTTGTCAACTGCTCTGATTGTCAACTCACACTAATTGAGCAGTATAAAAGATGAATGAATGAATGAATGAATATTCTCAGCGAAGTTTATGCTGGACCAAGAAGATGGAGCTTTTTGGAGGGCAAATTGTGCTTTGTCAAATTAAGAGCCAGGTTGGCTATTAAGAGAAGAGTTGGTTGGTTTAGCCAAGTTTAGCTGCTGGTGTTCTCTCTCCCCCTGTCAATGCCGAATTGAAAAGCTGATCATACCACCTCTGTTGAAAGGGGTCGGGGAATTGAGCCTTTCTTCTGTAAATTGGTAGAATATGCTTTATAAAAATTTCAGGGCCACTTTTCTCTAGCATTACCACAAGCATCTTCAAATCCAAAGAGCTTGTCTTCCTGTATTTTTTACATGCAATGGTTGTGGCACCAGGCAATCTGTTCACAAACAGAACAGAGAAAATGCTAAACTGCAGACTTGGCTTCCTTGGGCTTTATTTATTTATTTACTATTCCCACGTCTATACCGCCCCTTATGTGTGAATACTCCCTGAGCAGTTTATAACAGCCAATAAAATAATGCGCTAAACTGCTGGCTTCCTTGGGCTTTATTTATTTATTTACTATTCCCACGTCTATACCGCCCCTTATGTGTGAATACTCCCTGAGCAGTTTATAACAGCCAATAAAATAATGCAACAAAAAAACCCCATAGCGTACAATAAAAACTCTGTTGCTACCTAAATCAGTAAACGTAGTTTTAAATAAAATTAACTAAAACACATTTAAACATCTTAAGTCAGTGGTTCAATGCTAGTAGAAGGCAGCTTTATATAAATTTGTGGCAGCAGTGGTGTACTCAAAGGCAGTGCTCCCCAACCTTGGGCCTCCACATGTTCTTGGACTACAACTCCCAGAAGCCTTCACCACTGTCACCTCTGCTGGCCAGGATTTCTGGGAGTTGAAGTCTAAGAACATCTGGAGACCCAAGGTTGGGAACAATGCTCTAAGAGTATGGTATCCATGAATCCCTATTATAATCGAGGCTAATATAAATAAATGTAGTGCTTCATTATGCCAGTCACTGAGCTGGGTACAAGATCTTTAATGAAAGATAGCTTTTTAATTGAGGTCTCTTGTTTTAAGACTTGGTGACAGAGAACTGAGTTAAAGCAGCATCTGGTTGGGTTGTTACTCTCCATGTTCTGCCCTCTCTGAGCTTTTTATTTTGAAATAGAAGAAATCGTTGTTCATCACACATTTAAAGGCTTCAGACTTTACACTGTAGTTTTTTAATTTATATCCCACTTTTTCTTCTTGAGTGGTCAAGGCGATTAAAAAAACATACAGCTGAACAATCACAATAAGCTACAATGTGAAGATATTATTGAAGAGTCACATTGAAGCAATGGCTGAATTGATAATATTTAAAAATACTTAAAAATATCAATACAATATGACTCCCAGCATTAAAAGGTTCTTCCTTGTCAAGTCAGGCAATTGTCAAAAGCCTGTGCAAATGTTTGTTTGTTTGTTTGTTTGTTTATTTCTTTATTTATTTGTTTGTTTGTTTGTTTGTTTAAAAATGTTTTTATCCCATCTTTCTCCTTAAAAAGGACTCAAGGTGGCGTATGTAATTAAAAGACAGTATTTAAAGTTAACAAGAGTGAGTATACAAAAAGGCTAAAAAGGATCAAAGACATATCATGCTGAAAAAAACATAAGCAACACCAGAACACATTCAGAGCAGTTAAGGTACAGCATTCCATGTAAAAACTCCACTCAGGCAGCTAGTCACTTGGGGAAAGCTTACCTGAAGAGAATGGTCTTTGCCTGCTGGTAGAAGGATGGGGCCAGCCTGGTCTCCAAGTGGAAGGGAGTTCCAAAGTCTCGGAGCAGCAACAAGACAAGACCCTCTCCCATGCATCTACCAACATTTACAATAGAAGTGTCTTTGTCTGTGGACGGACAGCAGGGGTCAAGGATTGGGTTCTGGAGCCTGGGAGCAGCTGCCAAGAAGGCCCTCCGTCTGTCTTGGCTCAGTCTGCCTGTGAGTGGGGTGGGAAAGAAGGAAAAAATACTCTTTTAGCTCTTGCTTTCCTTGAATGGAATTGCATTCTGATGAAGTGTCTGATGAAGACCAGCCGCCTGTGTACGTCCCAGGTAGGATCGCTGACTGAGTGCCAAATGTACCACCATCCTGATACTTTGAATGGTGAAGTGGATAGGACCTGGTTGACACAGAATACATAGAGTACCCGAGGTGGGAGATAATACAGTTGTAAATAATAAACTGGGGGTTTGGCTCCTTCTGTATCAGAACTGGAAGAATAATCGCAAGCCTCTAGGCAACGACGCATCTCACGGTCACAGGTTGGCACCCGTGGCTAGCGCCTCTTCGTAGGACTTGAGAAATAGCCATCCCGGGTACAAGCCAAGAAAGATTGGGTAATTGGTCTGTTTTTTTGAGCTCCATTTGCTTGCATGGGTCAATTCCTGACAAACCCTCCCTTATTATCTGGCCAGGTCGTTTGCTGGCGGTAGGTGAGGCCTCCTCTTCCGGTGGCTTGGTTTGCCTTGTTTTTGTTCTTTATTCCCTCCCTCCCCATGGTTAATAAAAGGGAGCAGAAGACCCAAGGCAAAGAGAAATAAGTGCATCCGGGCTCATATTATTGGCTCCCGTGGCTTCCACCTGGAAGCATAGCTTTAAGTGTTGGTACAGGGAAACAGAAGCTAGTGGCACGAGGTATATACTTTGCATTTCTCTGTCTTATATTTTCCACCTGTTTTGATCCAGAAAAGTTCTCTGCTCCAAATACATGATTCCTGTGTTTATCGAGTTACAGTGTATTTGTGCTCATTGGTGCGGTGGCACCTATCTGCTTCTTGGAGGCTTGATACTTGGGCCCTGTAGAACACAGAGACATGTTAATGCATCCACATGGGTTGAAATACAGCAAACTGGTGACCTATATGAAAAAAGAGGTCCCGTCCATACGGAAAAACAAGAAAGGTGTGAGAACTTTGCCTTGATTGATGTGCAAAATTGTGTGCACCCTCCCCAGTTCACGTTTTGCTCATTCATAAGTTCTGGAATCCTTGCTTTTGTGTTTGTGTTTTCCTTGTTTTAGGCAGAGAGGGAGAGAGAGAAGAGCAGGTGGTTTGCTTAAAATGATGCAGATCAAGCAAATAGTATAAAAGAAACAGCAAGTCAGAGACTAAAGTGAAGCTAGCATGTGAGTTTGGTGTATGTGATAGTGTTGGAATGAAACAGATATGATACGCCGCTGGTGCTGATAACTGAAGCTATAACTCTTTCGTTCGTGGCACAGCGTTCATAGGACACTTGAAATCTGGCCCCGGGACTTCCATCTTTTGACAGGGAGAGTAAGTCCAAGGTACAGCGTTGTAAAGCCGTTGTGCAAAGTTTATGGAAGGGTTCCTGTCTCTTACTGTCCATGTGCCCAGGATACATGCGGGCATTTCTGAGTGCGCTGCTTAAGCCGTTTTCGTGCTACTTTCAGATCCCCTTTTTCATTGGGAGCGCCAGAGTGGGAGGCGCTTCGCAACAGCAACCAGAAGTTTTCCTGACCTTGTCTGTTCCATCTGCAGGAGTTTCAGCAGAGAGGAATTTTAGATCAAGAAGCCTGCTGAACGTTCAGAAAGCAGAAGTGAAGGGGAAGGTACCATCAGCTGCTGCTCCTGTTCCGATGGATGCCTCGAAAAGCACTGGGGAGGTGCCTGCCCAGCAGGTTGGTGTGTCTCTTATTGGTACAGTAATGGAAGGACAGGCTGAATGAAAGGTTGGAGGCTGCAATCCTTTGCCCACTTCTTTTGAACCAAGTCCTTCATGGGGCTTATTTCTCCGTGATCTGATTCCACACATCATAATCAGTCATGGGATTGCTCTCATCCACCTGGAAAAGGGATGCGTTATTTATTTACTTAAAATGTTTCTACCCTGCCTTTGTCCTTAGGCAGCATGCGGCATTTAAAGACAGTGTTTAAGAGCAAAGCAATGAGTATACAAAGTCCATCATCAAAAGTCAATATTTAAAGCTAAAAACATTTTTAAGTATAGAAATATTAGAAAGGGAACAGACAAAATATTTCTCTTAGAAATGAGAAACACAAGCCATATTAAAAACAGAATCAGAGCAGTGGTGCATGAAAACATCACGCTCAGCCAGCCAGCCATCGAGGGAAAGCTTACCTGAAGAGAAAGGTCTTCCCTTGCTTGTGGAGGGACAACAAAGACGGGGCCGGCCTAGCCTCCTGTAGCAGGGAGTTCCAAACCAAGTCCTTCATGGGGCTTATTTCTCCGTGATCTGATTCCACATGTCATAATCAGTCATGGGATTGCTCTCATCCACCTGGAAAAGGGATGCGTTATTTATTTACTTAAAATGTTTCTACCCTGCCTTTGTCCTTAGGCAGCATGCGGCATTTAAAGACAGTGTTTAAGAGCAAAGCAATGAGTACACAAAGTCCATCATCAAAAGGCAATATTTAAAGCTAAAAACATTTTTAAGTATAGAAATATTAGAAAGGGAACAGACAAAATATTTCTCTTAGAAATGAGAAACACAAGCCATATTAAAAACAGAATCAGAGCAGTGGTGCATGAAAACATCACGCTCAGCCAGCCAGCCATCGAGGGAAAGCTTACCTGAAGAGAAAGGTCTTCCCTTGCTTGTGGAGGGACAACAAAGACGGGGCCGGCCTAGCCTCCTGTAGCAGGGAGTTCCAACGTCTGGGAGCAGCCACAGAGAAGGCCCTCTCCCATGTCCCCGTCAAACGCATCTGCAAAGGGACCAAGAGCAAGGCCTCTCCTGATGATCTCAACACCCGAGCAGGGAGTCTTAAAAGGAAACAGTCTTTGAGGTAGCTTGGGGCCAACCCGATTAGGCTTTGAATTGTTTGCAGCGCGATTATTCTGTGTTTTGCCATCCATGCACACTAAGGAGGCAAAAATAAAGTCCTTGTTTTGAAGCAGGCAGTGCTGTGGCTTGAAGGAGCTGGAGTCTCACTGGCCAGGGCAGGCGGGAGTGATGCAAGTAGAAAGATGCTGCTTTCTGGGGGTCCTAGGAATGCAGATGTTGTTCCAGCTGGGGAGTGGAAAGTGGGCAGCCTTAATTCCCCACGGCTGCCCGTTCTTGCAAGGAGGGGACTGCTGATCGCCCACTGGGACCCTATCTTTCCCCACCATCGGGCAGCTTCTAGATTTGGCCAAGTACCATTTTCCCTTGCCCCATACTTGAGCAGGGAGCAAATGGACTGCTAAGAT